AAGGTTTTGCGATCGCAAAATGATGCTCTAATAGGGGGAAATCGCTTAACAATGATCAGTTCCCTGCTCCGGGAACCGATTTTTTTATAGACAAGGATTTTTTAAAAGCTGATTGGCGGCTCTAAAATGGCTGCCCGCTCTGCAATAGACAAGGATTTTTAAAAAGGTGATTGGCGGCTCTAAAATGGCCGCCCGCTCTGCAAAATGGCTCCCTGCTGTGATTTAGGATGGATTCCTCGCTTTACAGGCACCGAAAATGGCCGCCCCTATGGAGGATCTTCATTGGACGCTGAGGTATTTAGCCCATTGGAATGCATTGAAACGGTTTTCAGTGCATTTCAATGGGCTTTTTCGTTTCACTTGACGAGGATTTTGCTTAACAGCGATTTCAACGGAACGAATTATCCTTGTCAAGGAGGCACCACTGTAGATCAAGATCAAACAGGGTGAATTTCCCCATGAGTTGTGTGATCACTGGGAAATCAGGCACACTGGACTACTCTCCAAGTGGTCCAAATTATGATCTCTTTCCCTGTGTGATGTAGAGGCCCAGTGATGGGAAAACGTTTATTTGTGAGCTCTTCTTTGCCTCCCCTCCCCAGAAACCCCAGATCCACTGTCTCAGCTGAAGTGCCAAAAGGCAGCTTAGAAATGCATGTGCAAGCTTAACATGAAAGGCCATTGTGTGTTGGGTGCATTGAAGCCTGTACTGTATTATTTTTTTTACACTGCAAGAACTGAGTTCACAGCTCTCGTCTTGATACAAAAATCTGTTCCAAGTTTTGTTTCTACGTTTCATTTCTTATATCGAGTGAGCTGCCTTATCTAGAGAGAGAGAGAGAAAGAAAGTTGTTGCTCTTTTAAATGTTTAGAAGTCAGAAATCATGGCTGATCTACTGCAGTTAACCCACAGACCAGTAGATCCTGATCTACTTTTGTTTCACCACCGGTATAGAGGGAAAAAAAGAGAGATTTTATATCTTCATGTTCTATAAAGGAAGCTTCCAGTTATGGTCAGCCATAATTCAGTTTTTGATTGGTCCTGGTTAAACAGTCATTTATAATGGGCACAAGATACCATATGGGAGCAGTTACAGGCAGGTGAGCTTTAATGCTTGGCAGGTCCCTCTGGTGGCTAGTTTTCAGGTTCCTGCAGGGCTCAGTGAGTTGGGTGCCAAGACGGCAGAGCCCAGGCTTTTGGGAGAAAGGCCAGCCTGTGCGGACTTGGCCAATGTGTACTGTCTTAGGGCAGCCCCAAAAGAAGGGAATGGTAAATATAATCAGTCCTCTTGAGTTCTGTTTACCTAGAAAACCTGAAAAGGGTAATCACTTAATGGCTTCTCCTTCTCCTCGTCTTCTTTTTCAAAAACACCAGGCACAGCCAATCAAAATTATAAAAACATTTTTTGGTATTATATAACAAACACAATTTATAACCAAACACCTAAGTATCTGTTAACACAAGTTATAACCAAACACCTAAGTATCTGTTAAATATCGGTGCAGTATGTATGCTGTTCCTAATATTGCTGTTTTTGTAGCTCTGAAGGTGTGATTTCTGAGATCTGCAACTGCTTGTAGTACTGTGTGAAATTTCATGGTATTGTTCCCAAAACTCCAGTGACTATGGGGACCATGGAAGTGTGTTTCATCCACAAGCGAGATGCTTCGATTTCCAGACATCTGTATTTTGTTAGTTTTTCCATTTCATTATTTTCAGCTTTGGCATCCCCTCACAATTGCAGTGTCAATGATCTAGACACTTCTTTGTGCTACTGTGTCTAATGTGTTACGTTCAAGGTGTCTTTCAGTTTTGGTCCAGAAATGCCACAGGATCTTGACTTTGTCATTTTCTGACGCCCTCTCTGTCTGATGTTCCCATGGGTTTATGGAGGCTGGCAAGTTACCTTTTTTTACACAATGACCAGTGTACTGATTTTGCCACTCTTACCATCTCTAATTTTCTCACACACATTGGACAACAGCTCCCATTCCACGAGACCAGCACAGTGGAGTGTGCTGGTAGTCATGGTCCTCCAACATCTAAGATTTCAAGGTCAGGAAGGATAGTGCCGAAAATAATGTTAGTTCTTCTGTTAAAAAGATTATCTCTGCCTTCATAACAATGCCTTGCCGCCCTTCAGACACTGGGAAGTGGTTGCAACCCTCTTCAGATCGTCTTTGTTTCTACAGGCCTTGTTCCCTTAGGCTTTTCAAACATTTCAAGGAGTATTTTTGGTGTTACTTCTGTCGCTCTTCTTTGCTTTTGCAGTTGCTCTTTCTCAGCACTTTTTTGAAATCTTCTCCAGATTATTTTTGACTGCCACTTTTCTTAAGCTGAGCCCAGTGTTATCAATGTTGGCAAGAGGCCTTTCACTGACCCCTGCTGTCTGGAATCATTTGGCTGGAAGAAGCTAAGTAGGTGAAGGTTTAAGACAGGGCCTTTCCCATCGTGGCACCCTATAATTGTACTCCTTCTTTAAGTAGTTTAGATTGGGACTCTCTTTATTGTACTTCAAATATAGGTTGCATCAGCAGTCTTGCTCTTTCAGTGCATTAATTTTAAGTCTGCTGTAATGGTCTGATAAGTGTCCATGTGTGTTGGTTGATATTTTGTGTTTCATTATTTGTTTTGATTTGTATTAGTTCCTCAAGTGGCTATATTATGGACCCTATAAGGTACAGGGGACAATTTATAAATGTGTGAGATCAGTCGTCATCATCAAAATCTTTGGGCAGGCACTATCTTTAGTGGACCATTCAGTTGTGCACAAAAATGTAGCAACGTTTTGAGATCTGTACATGAAGGAGAGAAGAAAAAAGTTGGTGTTGAGATCATGGGATCTGCTTGCTCAAACTCGTAAAATAGGTGGATCAGAAGGATCACAGTCTTGAGTAGATTCCCAGTGGTAGGCAGCTTGTTACCTTCTGGATGTTTTGGATGTAATATCGTCACTTCTAGCTAGCATCCTCAGAGGTCAGAGACAGTGGGAGTTTTAATCCACAAAGACATCAGGTCTTCTTCTAGGTTAGGCTGAACTTGATGTCCTGCAGTTTTGGGGTTGTATCGGGAATGAGGCAGGTAAACATGGAATGATGATTCCCCCATTTTTAAAAAATTAGTTATTTAACGTCACCTCCAGTTGTAGGTAGACAGACAGATTTCTTGGTAGATAGAAAAGAACTGAAAAACAAATAGTAAATAAAAAGGCCTGAAAAACAGGCTAATGTAGTTTTAGTTCATAAAGCTAATGTTAAGTGCCATCAAGTTGCTTTTGATCTGTGGTGATCCTCCAGAAGGTCCAGTTGTTAACAGGCTTGCAAACACCAGGCTGTGGCTTCCTTTAGGCAACCAGTCCATCTCATATTTAGTCTTCCTCTTTTCCTGCCTCCTTTATTGTCTTTTCCAACAAGACTTGTCTTCTCATAATATGCTCAAAGTACACTAAGCCTCAGTTTAGTCATGTTTGATTCTAGGAAGAGTTCAGGCTTGATTTGATCCATGACCCACTTGTTTTTCTTGGCAGTCAATAGTATCTACAAAACCCGTCCTCCAGCAACATACTTCAAGTGGATCAGATTTTGCCCCCCTTTGGCTTTCTTCACATCCATACATAATAACGAGGAATATGATAGTGTGGATAATCTCTAAGCTGAAGTGTAAGGTGTTCAGTGACACTTCCTGACACTTGATGATCTTTTTAAATTCCCTTTTTGCTGTTCTTTTGCGTTTCAGTCTACAGTACTTTTGATTACTTGGCTGCACCGTCTATTTCAAATGATGATTGAACCAAGCCATATAAAATCTTGGAACAGTTTCAGTTTCTTCAGCATTAAAGTGATCTGGCTGTATACTGGTTTTTGAGATGAAGGAGTTTCCTGCCCAATACTGTTAGATCAATTTGGCCACGATGATTGCTACATTTTATGGAATTCTGGGACTTGTAGTTGAGAGAAATACTTAGAATGCTCTTCTAGAGAGTGCTGGTGCACTTCCCTAAAACAGTGGTTCTTAACGTGGGCGATAATGCCCCCCAGGGGGCTATTTCATTTTTCAGGGGGGCGATA